TTCTCGGGAAATTCGGGAAAAGTGGTAGGAAGTTGGGTAAATTATCCCGTTTTACACTGGTTGTATACACCCTCTCCCCTCCCCCGCTCGACGGAAAATTTTTGGGTGAAAAAAAACTGGAAAATGGGGGAAATTTGTAGGTAGGTGTTGGGGAAGGGGAGGGTGGGGGAGTGTAGTACCGAGACCCACATGTAGGTGGGGAGGGGGAGGGTCGTACTGACACCCTTTCTCGGAAGGGGGGGGGTGGTATACAGCACCACCTCACACCTTACGATGCTGTACCCTGCCTGTGGACTCACCTCGCACATTGCAAAGATCCTTAGCGACAGGATGAGAAACTACCCGTTATTAGCAAACTCAGCAAACGAAACTGAAGGAAATAAGGGAAGGAAACGACGAAGACCAAAACTGACGTCGGAAAATGGAACGCGTTCGAGCGCATTGAATTCAAGGTAAGGACAAGAAAAGGAAGGTAAAAAGTAATGACAGCTGCGCTAAGTACACAGAGATAAGAAAGGAAGCAAACGACATGTAATGTGCAGTTGGGCGGATAGCCGAAAGAAAGAGCCAAATATAACAATCACGACAACCTTTTCTGTCGAACACTCGAGGTTCCCATAATGCTCAAATGGAGTACAAGATAAATCGAGCTTCATAAACATTTGTGCACCACTGGTTACTCACAAATCTCTCCTAGCAAGCAAGGAGGAAGAAAAACCTAAGGAATGAACGAATTTCAACAAACCTGTCGAGTTGATCAACGTCGAATGTCCCGTAGGCTTCGAGGGCATTGGCACCTCGTAAGTTGCTAATGCTATGCGTTCGTACTGGCGCATTCTGGCCGTCACCATCACCAGCCGACGTTAAACGAAGATTATCGGACGATTTCCGCAGATTTTCGCTTGACTGGTGGAGCCTGACAAGAAGCGACATTCGGTAATGTTCGTGAAAAGGTCGCGATAATTTCAGCCACGGCTCTGTCAGCCGAGCATTTCTCGGAAAATGCTGCGTTATCACCGAGCAAAAGTTCATTTCCCTATTCAAATATTAAATTACTGTGGAACCTACGTTACCTATACAAAGCCGACAAAAAAGTAATCACAAAAACTATTCATCATAGGCGCAAAAACTTAATAAAACCTAGTAATTGGATTAATTGAGCCCGATCTGACTGGTTTCCTACCCCGCTTATTAACTTGCAATATACCCACACGAGGCAGTTTGGCCTAGTCCAGAGGCACAAGCCACGCTGACAGGACGACTCGCTGAGCTTCCTCACTGAAAACCCTCTCCTGTTGACTGTCGTACCAGGAGGGTTGAATAGATGAGGAAAATGGTCTGCCTTCACTCAAACTATGTGCAGTAACATCGGTTTGTGCTTTTTGTTGATTTTCCCTATCTTTGCCTCCGTAACCCCCAAATCGTTGAGCGTTAAGTATAATATTTAAAGACAGTGGACAGGACGGCTGGAGGTGGGCGGTTACTGCCAACGTCATCGGTGGAATGGCTGTGAGAGGGCGCTAGGCAGACTCCACTTAGGCAGCGTTCAGACTTTGCGTCGACTTCTGAACGCTGCCTTAGCCCTTCCTTCGACGACTTTGCCCCGGGCCATCACGCCCACTGCCTTCAGTGATGGCGTATCAAATCAGAACTAAATGTGACTGAAATTCACATACTTGCTCCTCAATGCTGCTATACGATTCAATGCGTCCGTACTCTTTCGTGTATCACCATCGACACCGACACTGCGAAGATTCGACCGTGAATTTGCTGGCGTTAATCGACTAGATGCGGCCGTGTAAGACATGTCAGAATCCTGCAAGGTAGGAACGTACTCTGCATAAAATACTCAGTGACTTTGCAGAAACCAAGAAAGACTAGAAGGTGAAATTTAGATGGCGCTAATAATTGAGACGGTGACGACTTGGTTATCATAAGAATGCCGAGGTGTGGGCAGAAGTCTTGGCCTCAGGAAGGATTCAGTCATGTAGCTCACGCTTATCGGGCAAAAATAACAACCATAGCACCAAAAAGGTCATTTGAACCTTCCCAGCTTGTAGACAGTGGGCACGATGGCTGGGGGCGGGCGGTTGCTGCCAACGTCCTTGGTGGAGGGGCTGATAGAGGTGTTGTCAAACGCCCTTTAATAGCCCTTCCACCAATGACGTTTAAGTA